GTTGTGCTCTCAGAGTTGAAGGAAGAACTACAGATTTTGGTTTATCCATTTGTTTGTTTGCTTTATTATTTATGTTGTTTTATTTGGGAATAAGTTTGCCCCAGGAAAAATAAACTGCCTGGTGGAAGGAGTGACAACCTGCTACAAGTCCTCTAGGTAAATTTACAATATTTGCCTTCTGGATATGATGGTAAGCTGCCCATTCTCATCACTCTTGCCCAGTGATTCATTATGTATGTTTTAGTTTTGTTTTTATTACAAATCCTTTCTTTTTATGTTTGCTGGAGTCGTGTATTAAATGGCTTGCCTCTATGGGGTACCCTTTTTTGCATTAAACTCTTCCAAAATAAAGAATGGACATTTTGGCAAAAGTCTATCAGGAAAATACTTATCTGACAAAGATAATGATTTCCTAATAGCTTTTCCCTAACAGTGTTTTTTATTGAGCCAGTGATTAAAGTGCAGCCTGGCTGAGTTATAATGTGCTTCCATAGTACAACCTAAAGTCACGTTAATCAACTGGAACACACAAAAATACAGTTGGAAACGGAGATGGTGGTATAAATCCCCTTGATACAACAGAGTTCACTTCAGACCCTGATCAGAGTGAAAAAAAATCTCTTATCAGTGATCAGAAAAGTACAGTTCTGCATTTCAAAATGGGAGGTAAGGGGGTGCATGCACTTTTTGTTCTTTTTTTTAACGCCTTGTTTAATTATTTAAAAATTTACTTGTGAGGATGCTCTCATGATAACATCTTAGAGCAAGTAAAAAAAACCCCACAGGTGACTTGGGAATCTAAGTCCTAATTTCAAATGTCTGTTAGTCAGCTTGGTGACTAATACTGTGTAGCAACATAACCATATACATTTGTCCACACTTTAAAAGGGTGGGAGGAGGACTTTCCACTCAGGAGTGCAAGTCAGCTGAACCAATATACCTGTTTCATCTCCGTCCATCCATATGCCAGTATAAGAGGAGCCCAACTACTGTAAATTTAACCTGGATGAAGCAGGTTTGAAGTTACAGAGGTTTAGGTCTACTTATATCAGCATAGGAGTAGACAGACTAAACATGTTCATCAGTTCAGTATGACCCACAAAGTCAGCAGGATTTAGGCTTTTACTGGCATCTTCACTCCATGGGAGAAGCATGGCCTGGCAACAACTGACCCTGTCCATGCCCTCAACCTCCACCTCCACCTCCACCTGCCTCCCACTCCAAGCTCATGGAATCGTAAAGAAGTAGGGCTGAAAGGGACCCCCAGGACTCATCTAGCCCAAACCCCCTGCCTGACGCAGGATCATCTCTAACTGAACCATCCTATACAAATCTATAATCTAACCTCTTAGTAAAACTACCATCTACCCTGACACGACACGAGACTTAACACACTAACCTGCCACAGGTAAAGCAGGGGAACTACAGCAGCCAATATCCTGCTTCTGTAAAAAAGTTGTTAATATAAGGATACCAGGTAGAGGCCCACACCTCCACTACAGAGGAAGGTAAAAAAAAAACAACCCCAGTCCGTATCAATCTGGTCATGGGGTAAAAATTCTTCTTGAGTCCAAATATGGCAATCAGTCTGACCCTGCAAAATCCCCAGCTTTGGCTGCAGCCAATGCTCAATGCCTTTGAAGAAGGCTTAAAAACACATGTAGCAAAAAGGGAAGAAGGGGTGGAATTCCCTCCCCGCCCCATGCAGCAGCCAGCAAAGTCCAGAAGCATGGGAAATACAATAGAGCATAAGCATAGCTACACGTACATGATCCCCAACCAGTAACTGTCCAACCTTTTCCACACCTCCAATGATGGCAAGTCCACAACTTCCCTAGGCAATCTATTCTACTGCCTTGCTGTTGTAAAAGTGAAGAAGTTCTTCCTGGTATCAAAACTAAACCTACTTTGTTACAACTTCAAGACACTGGTCTACCTCTGCAGCCAGAGAAAGAAAAGGTGTTCTCCCTCTTCTTCATCTAATCAAGCATCTTCTTCAATCTTCTTCAAGTATTTGAAGATTGCTATCATGTCCCGTCTCAAGTGCCTTTTTTGCAAGCTGGACATGCTTAGTTCCTTCAGCCTCTTCTCATATGACTCATTTTCCAAGCCCTTTTAGCATTTTTGTCTCTCACTTCTAGGCCCTCTCTAACTTCTCCACATCCTTTTTAAAATGTGGAGCCCAAAACGGATGAGGCTACTTTAACCACATCCCCAGTGGCTGCTCTCATGTATGCCAGATACTGAGAATTCCTGGTTAGAGATGCCAATGCCATGGTGTAGACAAGCCCTATGTCCTTTAGATACTCTTGGGAATTTTACTCTTTGTCTAAAACTGCAGACAGCACTAAGCAATTGCAATTCTAGGTCATTTGCAGTGGTGAATGGCACAACATTGCAATGTTGAATCTTATTGCAAAAAAGGAATTAAAAGCATCCTGAAAAGCAAGCAAAATTGATGCCTATTTTAAGGGTGCAAGTGCAGCAGCTTCTTTCAGTGGCTTATGGCTGCCATCCCAAAAGCTTGCTACAGACTTGATTACTTTATCTTGCCAGGTGCTAGGCACTTTCTAAGAAGGACCAAGTGTTTTCGGCTGCCATTGAAATCAGCCAGAGTTGTAGATGCTCAGCATATCACAGAAGAGGGCCCATTGAAATCATCTTCAATTAGAGAAGTATCTCTCTTTGCTATTACTCTTTTGATAGTGTTAATAGAGGCCTGCATAGGATTTTCTTTAAGGAGTGCTGTTAGAATAGAGCTCTTGGCCTAAAGGACCTGGGTAGTTGTCAGGGGATCCTGGCAACCCTGCCATTCCATGACGCTAAATGGGAGAGAGGTCCCAGTTAGGCCCTGGCTTAGTAGGGGAGCTGGGAGGACTGGGATGATTGAGTTGTGGGCACAAGATGGCAAAGGTTTGAACCTCAGTTCCAAGAAAGAGATAAGAAACAAAGAAAAAGATACTGTCTCTCATGGCTTACAGTGACCTCTACTTTGTTTTTCTATTCTCTTCCAGTCTTATTGTCCAATGCCTAGTGTTGTAAAGAGTGAAGTCGACGGGTCATTGTATTGTGCTGTTTAAGGCATATTCTACTCACTTCCAATAGGCTCAGTAATACTTCTGCACACCTGTGGCAAAGCTTTTGCTATGTATAGCATTTTAAAATCTGTTTGTGCCAAAACAAAATATCGCATTTATACAGCTCTTGTTTGTACAATCTGTACCTCTATTTAAGTGTATTAAACTAATGATAAATGTGTAAAAGATTGTTAAACAATAATGCAAAGTGAGAGACTTATCATGTTTCCTTGACATGCTGCTCTGAAGGACGGTTGCCATTAAAGTTATTATAGTGAAGGTTTTCATAATTAATTGACAGACTAAAAAAATTCCTTCTGTCTCCCCTCCTTTAGCATGAGTTCAGCAAAGGCAGATGCATTTAAAAAATGTTTTTTGAATCGGCGGTCTATTGTGCGAACTAGTTGTGCTGTTTTATAACATGGTTCCGGCCGCTCCTCTTGTTCTAAAGTCATTAATGTGGAAATGAAGATGATGAGCTTGATTCTCATTCTGTTACATTGGCTTAACAATATTAACTAGTAACTTGATCAAAAACAGTATAAAATCAGTAACTGTCATACCTCCATCAAAATAGAGCAGAGAATCAGGCCCTCTGAATATTTTGTGATCTTTAACAGTAAAATAGCACAGTTAAAGTACCAGGTGGTACTCGACCACCTGGGCAACAGTGATCATCACCTGCTGGAAAGGACCTGAAGATCATCAAGTGCAGCCCCCTGCCCCAGGAAGTCAGCTAGGGTCAGCTAGGGTCAAAGGCTCCCAGCAAGATAAACACAACCCTTTGCCACCCCACAAGTGAGAGGGTAACAGAGCTAAGGTTTTTTTAATTGCAATTCCACTTCCTCTTCCCCTACTCCAGACAGGGAGTAAGTGTAAGTGGGTAAAGTTATTTCTGTGTGCCTCTACCCAATGCCTAGGCACCCCACATAATCGGATCAGTAGGATTTTTATTTTGTGAGCAGGGTGGACCCAGGGGAAAGAGGCAGTGACCCCCATGTGTGCTTCACGCACAGTGAGCTTTCTTGAGCTCACTGGCATGTCAGTGCATCTCCTATCATGAACTTAGCTTGTGTCATGAGCCCTGAACCCACCAGCTGGTTGGCAGGGGGGCTGGCCAGAGCCCCAGCTTTCATACAGCATTGGAGACCGGGGGCTGAGTTCCCCTACCCTCCATGCTGAATTCATTGGAAGTGGAAAAGAGGGGATGAGCAGTGGCAGTGCTTTAGCCCCTGCCCTGGGCACTGGAGCTGCATGAAATAGGGGGTGAGTGTCACTGCCATTGCCACTTGTCTCCTTTTTCCCCGCTCTGATGCTGAATTCAGGAGTGGGGGCAAGCAGGAGGAGGGTGAATGGCAGTGGCCCTCGCCCTCTGTGATCTGGAGCCTGTGAAAGCAAGGACTCCAGCCAGACCCCACACCAACCAGCTAGTGAGCTGAGAACTTGCAGCATGTAGAAAGCTGTAACAGGAACTACACTGACAGCAAAGCTTGCAGGCATCCAGGATCGTGCAGAGTGGGGTGTGGCTGTGGTACGTATGCAGTGACCCGCTGTCCTCACTGCCATCCTGGGTCCACCCAGGAATGTGAGGTGCAGACAGCAATCTAGCGTTCTGTATTTTCCCATCTGTGAAAAAGGATTCCTTGAAATTTCTTTTGCATATCAGCAGTACAAGACACCGAGGCTCCGATGCCCTATTAAAAATAACCTTTTCCAACAGCAACAAAACAATATATGGGACACCTGAATTCCCTTCACACAGAGGAGAAAGTAACTGTGCTGTCCTGAGAAGCTGTGTGCTACCTGTTAGTGCATGCGAGTTTGTAATGGAGCCAGCTATAGGCATAGTGAATACAATATGTACGTGCTTAGTTTCCTTTGCAGTACTTTAAAATGATAAACCTTTTCACATTTTTCTCATAGGTTTTGGTGGGTCATGGAATCCGCAAGCAACACAAGTGTTGGGTGCAACGTAAGCAAAGACGACCGAAGTGAAAATTCCCCCAAAGCTAATGCTAACAGAGAGTCAAATGCAGTGGCAAACAAGTCATCAAATGATATTCTGGAAGCACTGCAAGGGGTTAGAAACCTCCCTGGGGAAACAGCGATAGAAAATGTAATGGAGAAAGTAAAAATGGCCAAGAATGGCAAGGAAAAACAAAGTAATGATTTAGACAGAACAGGATTGAAATGGAAATCAGAAAGTGAAGAAAAGCCTGCTGTGAAAAAAGAGGCAAGAATGTCAGAGCTTGACAATCAGCTAGTCGCAATGCCTCTGCCTCATATTCCTCTGAAAAGTCTAATGGATGTGGAAATAAAGTTGGTCTACATTGATGAGGAAGATATTACATATGAGTTCGCTGAGTCAGTGGTGTCTACCAGCACACAATCAACATGTCGAGACGCTGAAAAAGTAGGCTGTCTGAGTGCACCTAATTTCAGCTCTCTGCCGCAGATTGACAAATGGCTTCAGGTAGCCTTAAAGGAGGCCAGCACTTGCTATCGACAAAAGAAGTATGCTATAGCAGCAGGACAGTTCAGAACAGCACTTGAGGTATGAGATTAAAGAAGCACAGATTAATGATACAAAGCTGACGTGCAAGGTTATAATTACACTCGAGTGGCTGACAATATTGTAATGAACAAAGGTCACAAAACTCGACAGTGTTTATGATTTCATCAGAACCTTGAGCTGTGATTTTATGTAAAATCTGCAAATGAAGGGATATAAATAAATCATGGGATGTGAGAGACAATATTACAAAACACAACAAAAAAAGTTCATATGATTTGTGTTTTAACAGAGCCCTGAGATGTATTTTAACGCTGCATAGAGAAAATTCAGGCTGATAGGGTGAGTTCAGCGCTCCTCAGTCACCTTATTTACCCATGTTTGCAACAGGGAGGAATGATGATGACCTAGTGGTTAGAGCACTAGCCACTTAAGAGACCCAGGTTCAAGCACCATTCTGCCCGAGGCTTCCTGTGTGAGGTTGGGCAAGTCATTTTGGATATGTTTGCAGCAGTAGCATATCCCATTAGGGGTGCTCCCAAATACACTCTACCTGCTTACCCCACTCACATGCTCCATGGGAATATATCAGTGAAGCTGCTCTGGGTTAGCTCCTCTCAGGGACACCAGAGACTGAGAGCAGCCTCGGAGAGATGCTCCCAAAGCATTTCACTGACATACCTCTCCGTCAGAAGCATGTGAGGACGAGGGGGTGGGCAGGGCACGCTCAGTAACATCCTGTGACCGCATGTAGATATACCCTGAGTCTTTCTGTGCCTCAGTTCCCATCTGCAAAATGGGATAATTGTTCTTTATTTCACAGGAAGATTTGTGAGGATTATTACATTAAAGATTGTAAAGGATTCAGACTCTAAAGATCTTCACATATTTCTTGCTGCCTCATTAACACATCTTTGTCCTAATTATAGCCTTCTTATGGAGGGGAGCGTAGTGATAGAGGTAAATCAGCCAATCAGCAATCTTCATTCTTAATTCATTTACATATTATTGATTAAAAATACATCCATGGGGGGGGGGTTTAGTTAAAGATCAAATCTTTGGCTGTACGTGTAAGAATAAACATTGTTGTGATCTACACCCTAGATCCCTGAAACTGGGTCAGAACCACAGAAGGAAAGTGAACTTTGACCAGTCAACAGCCGCCCCATTTTCCAAAATGAAGGCTCATCGCCCAATGTTCATCATTTACTGTAGGCAGAAACTTTCAGCTCATCATAACTCCCACTTACCTAAATTACTTTTATGTCCTGCCCCGAGCCTCCCTTACCAATTGTGATACTAATTGTTTAACTGCCATTGATTGACAGAAGAAATATAGACAACTAAATGCTGATAGGCTGCAATGAGGCAGAAAAGAGTAAATCAATGTTCCCTCATACAATCCAAAACAGTGAGGAATAGTATCACTACTGGCAAATGGAGAGAGATCCATTGACCCTAAGGCCAGTAGAGACTACTGTGTTCTCTAGTGTGAGTTCCTGTATGCATCAGCCACGGAGAGTTTCCCAAAAGTTGGGTTAAAGCAGGGCAATCCAACCGGCAGCCTGCAGGCTCCTGCAGCTGGCTTTCCCATTGTCATGCAGTGGGGAGTGCCCAGGAAAGTTGGGGCTTAATGCTACTAGCACTTCTTGCATGGCAAGGAGTTGCACACCACTGGTGCAGCTTGAGGGCTGGGAGCAAGGGATGTAGCCCATACATTGTGGGGCTCAGGTCTGCATGCAGTGGAGGGAACAGGGAAGGTGACTGCCAGGGGAGGCTACCCCTGCAGCACATGGCCCATGTTGTACAGCCCTGGCCCCACATGCCAGCACTAAGTGCTGCCCCTGGCTGCCCCGGAGCTGGACAGCCCTAAGGTTAAAGCATGTTTTCCAGAAACATATCTAATCTTATTTTAAGGATTCTTCATTAGGGTGAGTCCATCACCTTCGAGGTGTTCCTTACCACCGACCACTGGGAAATGACGTGTTGTTTCAAGTTTAAGTTTGCAACTTCAGCTTCTAGCCTTTGGATCTTTTGATGCCTTTGCATCAGGAAGGCACCACTATTGGGTATCTTTTTCTGTGTGACAGGACCTGTACCTAGTGATTGAGTTAACTCTTGACACTCTGTTCAATAAGCTGAAATGGCTCAGCTTATTAAGAATCACATGGTAAGGCTTGTTTTCTACCTTCTAAATCAGGCTTGTCCAACATACGTCCCACGGGCCGCCATGCGGCCCTCCAAGCCGTTTTCTGAGGCCTGAGGTGCTGCGACGGGAAACGAAAGTAAACACTGTACTTTTGTTTCGGGTGGGTGATGTGATACTGCTTCCTGTGAGGTCTTTGAATAAGGCTCGCCGGCCCACTGGGTAAAAAAAGGTCATGATCCGGCCCCACATTCAAAAAGGTTGGACACCCTTGTTCTAAATCATTCTTGTGGACCCCCAAAGTCCTTTCAGAGTCACAGGTATCCAATACAGTCTCCCATTCATTAGGTATGGCCTACTTTGTTCTCAGTGTATTACCTTGCACTAGGCCTGTCAAAACAGTGTTTTGGACTGTGATCATGCAACCAGGCAGTTCAAATGGTAACGTTATGGTAACCTGCCTTCCTTATTATTTATACTTCTCCAAACTTTGTGTCATCTGCAAACATTGCCATCAAAGATTTTATATTACCGTCTAGATGGTTGATAAAAATATTGAATATCTTTATATCAAGAACAAATCCCTTGCCTCATTCATTGACGTTTCCCTATCAACAACTACATTTTAATCTCTGTCATTAACCTGATTCTAATCCAGCTAATGCGTACCTTATTATTTCCACATAAAGGAAGGGTTTTAATCACAGTGTAACATGGCAGTCAGTCAAATGCCTTGGAGAAACTCAAGTATACACTATCAACACCATTGCCTTTGCCAACCAGACCTGTAATCTTATAAATAAGCAACAGGAGTAAAGCAATGCTTTTGTGATGTTAATACTCCCGTAAAAAGAAACAAAAATCCTACTCTGTTCTTTCCCTTACTGAAGCAATCTCATTTAAAACTTCTTTTGGTAGCTAGACAGAAGTAGGTTTTCATTATTTTCTTTTTTTCATTTGTTTTTTTCAACTTGTTAGCTTCTTCTCTCTCCCTGTTAGCCTGGATGCAGGGTGCTCTGTGGAGAAGACTTGGAGTTTTTGTTGAGTTGTATTTTGCTCTATTGTTCCTTAGATTATTTTGTGGGGAGATGACCCTGTAGGTTGCTTCATGTGAGTCTCTTCTCTCATGGGCAGTTTATAGCTGGGCATAGCCCAGCTATGGGTCCAGAGCTTTACTGGTGAACAGAAACAGTTTCCACCTGCCCTACACACAACAGAATTAAGCACCAAGATTTTCAAATCTGACTGCTGATTTTGAGACACCTCAGAGAGATATGTCCTTCAGAGGTGGATATTCTTCATTTTTTGAAAATGTAAGTCCTTTTTGACATTTCAGATGGGGAACCCCAAAACTGAGGCATTCAAAATCTCCATTCACTTCTGAAAATTTTAGCCAAGCTTGAGTATGAGACTCCCTGGGTTTGCCAGCATTAAACAAAATCCCCAGAGGGTGGAGTAAAGGGAAGAATTCCCAGCACTGTAAGGACACAAAGACTAGAAACAGATATTTCAGTGAAGCGACCAGCACATCTGATCACACTCCAGGGATGTCTATAGACAGCCCTGGTGAGTCTGCAAGCTGGGGAAAACCTCCTCTTGCAGACATACCCTCTGTGTTGGGGAGCAGAAGAATTTCCCTCCACGAGCCTACAAGTGTGGAGAGGGAGGATGTGAACAGGGGCTCCCCCCTATCCACTTGCAAGCGTGCAGGGGAAAAATTCCTGTGCAAGGTCTGACTGAGTGGGGGAGAGTGGGGTTTTCCTCTGCCCAGCCAGACCCATGGGTAAGGTCTTTACCTGCTTAGCCTGACCGAACTAGTTGGAGAAGTGCTACAGAAGTAATAGATGTCTGGCACAATAAAGTAGTAGTCTATTACCACCTTTTGTTGCACGACTGGTTTTCCTTTCATGTGGTGCAAAAAAGGGTAAGGATAGCTCAGCATTTATGCCACCTTTAAAGATTTTATGACAGCACAAGTGAGACATCAGGCAATGTCTGTTTCCACTCAAATGGTAAAAATTGGTGTTGCATTTCTCCAAGGAGAACACCTTTGTCCTGGGATCTTACAGACATACAAGGCTGTTGTCCCACTTTAAGTGCCTTGAGGTATGTGCAAAAGTGCTCTGTGTGTGTTTTACAGTTCTGTAATTTAGAGCACTTTTTATAGCACTGTAAAGGTACAGCGCTCTTAAGCGTGACAGAAGTGCAGTGCTTGGTGCAGGCAGGGTTCTGAGCCTCCCTTCACTTTGCAGGCTAGGAGACAAGGAGCACTCCGCAGCTTTCTGGGGCTTCTCCACTGGTCAGAAATTTGACTGGCACACAGAAGTTATTTAAAGCACTATAGGCTGCTAAAGTGCTGTAAAATACTATGATTCAAATTTAATACTCCAACCATTTTTAAAGTGCTGTAAGTGTTTAAATGTGTGCAATAAAGTGTTTTATATGGCAAAAAAGCAACTTCTGTACACACCCTTGAAGTATGCGAGATAAAATGTGTTAACACTTTTTCTCAGGACAATACTGTGTAGTCACAGCTCAATCAAGATCATTGCTAGAGGGGCAACGTATGTAAAGGGCTGTGCCAGCCCTATTTCATCCCAGGTTTTGACTTTAGTCAGAACTGCCTTAAATAAGACATCTGCTTTTACCCAAAGAAATGACAAGAGGAGAAAACAGTGGGATACAAAATTATAGTCACATGGTCACAAGTTTCCTGGAAGTCAGGGCTACCAACAGTTACAGTAAAACTGATTGTGCAAAGTTGGAACATTATGCCCAGATTTCTACAGTTCTGCTAATCTCTGCTAATTATATTGGAAATCTCTTGTATTCTAACCATGTCATTCATATTGTGCCAGAAGAAGTCATGGTTCATAATAATCATATAATGGGCAAA